ACTGAATTGTGAACATTCCTAACCCTATAATTTTGTCTATAGCAGCACCCCCTGCTGTGGAACTAACTGCTAAGGGATTATAGCAATGTAACCCTCAGCCCGTTCCATCTCAAGGTTACTCTTAAGTGCAGAGAAGGAAGCAGTTTTAATTTTGATAAAATAAACTTTGTTTTGTAACTTTATTATTTGTTTTTCTTTCCCCTTTCAGCACTTCATAATAGACGTGTCTGGTAATTTGAAGTCAGCCTCCCTGGTTGAGGTGCTTTAGGCCACCCCCTATTCTTGTAGCTTTTAAAGAGATAGCCACACGATGTTTAGTCCTGTCATTCCAAAGTGCAGAACCCAAGTTTTTTTCTACTTCATGTGAACTGAACCAAGCCATATATTGACCCGTATTAAACATGTCCAATGGAGCTTTCCAGTGGGTGGCAACAGAAGAGCATGAACACTGTCATGTCACCCAAATACGTTGGAAATGTCAAACTATGTGCAAAATTCTAAGTACTTTTCTGATGGTTAGTCTTTGCTCACAAGATCTGTACTTCAGCAATTATTGAAGCATTTAAGGTTATAATGTGAATTTCAGGGGAACCCCCTCTTTGATATTATAAACTCAAACATGTTGCCAGGAACAAATGGCCTTTTATGGATGAAATTTGATATATTTTGAATAATGCTCAAAGAGATCTTTTGCTGTGTGTGAAGAATAAAATAAAAATTTCCGTTATAAAAATTTATAGCTGGATGGATAGGGAAAAATATTTTCCAGGATAAAAATATTTTCCTGTGTCTTCTTAAATTAAAAAAATACAAAGTTTTAGATACACAGAAAATTAAGTTTAATTATTACCACGTAATAGCCAAATCTTTCTAGAGACAATAGGCCAAAATGTGGCAGAGCTTTAAAAATGTCCATAACTTTGACCAAGAAATTATGCTTTTAGAAGTTTACTCAGGACATCATGACATAAAAGTATATATCCATAGATGTTTATCATTGCATTATTTAAGAGTGAGATATACAAAGAGTTTAAATTTAAAAGTAAGTGCCCATTAGCAGTCTGAATAAGAACTCATATTTAGTGTTGCTTTTAAAAGACTTTTTTAAGTATTATTTCTAAGTATTAATTTGAACCTTGTCATTCCTTAGTGTTAATAAGTTAAACACTCAGAAATTGCGCAGGTCAGTCTAGATATGATCAATGTTAAGATGATAATCTCTAGAGGAGGATTAACTTTCCCTTCCAGCTATGACTGAATAGCTTCTACCTGACCAACACTCCTACAATAGCAACTTAACATCTGGATAAATTTAAAAAATAATTGTGATGGCATTGGAGAGGCGTAAGGCACCAATAACTTCAAAATAACAGAACAAAGAGATGAGCCTAACATTTGGAGCTGCTTTTCCCATTGAGCTATTTCCCATTTTAAAAGGAGCCAAGAAATTGAGAAACTGAGGGCAGCTTTTAGCAGTTTTATGAAATTGAAGGAACAAAAATTAGAATTAGAGTTTGAAGGTATTAAGAATCTGCTAAATAATCAAGACATTCATTTGGGACCCCCCTAAAGGATTACAATTTAGGAATAAGAATGAATAGAATCAGCCCCATACAGAGACTGAAACAAACTCTAAAGTCAGTTTAGTCCCACAGATTAGAATAAAGTGACCTACAAAGCAAAGTAAATGCCTGGTTCAGGAAGGTAACATCAACAAAAACTTAAAACTGTTTTAAAATATTCTTAACACTAGCATTTAATAAAATATTATCAGCCTTTCCATTAGGCAAGACCAAATGATCAAAAGTGAAGTGAAAAAACACTCGGGGTGGGGAGGGGGGATGAAAGAGACCTGTAGAAAACATTTATTAGAGTTACCAGACATGGGCTTTTAAATAGCTATGATGAATAATTTCAAGAAAGTGTAGGACAAGGTAAAAAGTTCCAGCAGAAAGTGAATCTGTAAAAATAATTGAATTGAAATTCTAGAATAAAAAAATACAATGATTAATTTTTAAAAATCAGTAGATGGGTTTAATAGCAGATTAGACATAGCCAAGAGGTAATTAGTGAATTGGAAGGTAAATCAGTAAGAATTATCCAGAATAAAATATAGCAAGACAAAGGAAAGTACTGAGATAACAGACATAGGACATGTGTAAGTGCAATTCTAGGAGAGAGAATGGGGCAGCTGCAATATTTGAAGAGAGAATGGCTGATAATTTTTCAAAACTGCTGAAAAACATCCAGCCATAGATTTAAGAAGTGTTATGAATGCCAAGTAGGAAAATATAAAGAAAATTACACGAAGGAAAATCATAATAAAGCTAGTGAAAGCCAAAGAGAAGGAGAAAAATCTTAAAGTCAGTTTAAAAGGCCCTAACCGGTTTGGCTCAGTGGATAGAGCGTCAGCCTGCGGACTGAAGGGTCCCAGGTTCGATTCCAGTCAAGGGCATGTACCTTGGTTGCGGGCACATACCCAGTAGGGAGTGTGCAGGAGGCAGCTGATTGATGTTTCTCTCTCATCGATGTTTCTAACTCTCTATCCCTCTCCTTTCCTCTCTGTAAAAAATCAATAAAATATATATTTTTTAAAAAGTCATTTAAAAAGGACTTTGATTTCAAAGAAACTAAGAAAGCAGCTGACTTTTCAGTTAAAATTATGGAAGCTGGTAAATAATGGAAATCATATTCAAATAGCTGAAAGAAAAGAATTTCCTACCTCAAATTCTGTATCTAGTAATATTGTCTTTCAAAGTTCAGGTTAAATAAAGACATTCTTCATCATCAGCAGAACTTCACGAAAGGTCATTGTAATGGGGCTTCTTCATGCAGAAGAGAAATGATCCTGGTAGAGGCATGAGGATGCAGGAAGAAATATAGTAGAACTGTATAGTCAAGCCAAATCTGAAAAAAAAAAAAACAAAAACAAATGTCCATCAATAACAGAATGGACAAATAGATTGTGTTCTATGTATGTAAAAAGTACTAAATAGCAATGACAATAATCAAACTATAGTTACATGAATCAACGTGGGTTAATCTCACTCAACATTATGTTGAGTGAAAGAAGAAAGACACAAAGAATGTATATTGGACAGGGATATGCATTTCCAAAAAGGGCCAAAATACATATGATAGAATGCAGAATGTTGTTTCCCAGGGTAGAGAGTATAGTTACTGGAAAGAAGCACAAGGGGTTTTTAAGGGTTGGGATAATTTCTTGTTTTGGATCTGGTTCCTCATTATGTGACCATGTTTACTTTGAGAATATTGATGAAGTTGTACATTGACGATTCATGTATATTTCAATAAAGGGAGGGAGAAAATACTCCAGAGGGAGTTTTATTCACATAATGAGAAAAATACATTTTTTTTTCAATGAAGGAATGAGAAAGGAGTACAGAAATAGCTCATCGAGTTTCACTTCCTTAAAAGGGATTTTTAATAATTTGGAGAACACTCCATGGAATTTTAGGATTTTTTAAAAAATCGGCCCTAACCGGTTTGGTTCAGTGGATAGAGTGTTGGCCTGTGGACTGAAGGGTCCCAGGTTCAATTCCAGTCAAGGGCATGTACCTTGGTTGAGGGCACATCCCCAGTAGGGAGTGTGTAGGAGGCAGCTTATCAACGTTTCTCTCTCATCGTTGTTTCTAACTTTCCTCTCCCTCTCTGTAAAAAATATATTTTAAAAAATCAAATCCTAAGGGTTATAACCCCTTTCAGTCTTTCTATAATTAGTTTTCAGTCATTACTTCTGAACCTTGAGGCTGTTAGATATGAATACTTTTCTTAAATCATTCATTTCTTTCATTAATCTTGACTAACAAAAATGTGGCCATTTAGATGAGGCTTGTCTTTGAGTGTGATTTAGAGCACCACGCAGTCCCAAGGATGGGTCATTGTTTGATAAATGGGGTAGTGGTTTAACACTACATCTGCCTCACACTGCACACACACAGAGGAAAAAGATTCAGGTGGTGGGTAGACTTTAAACTTTCTTAGAAACTAACAAAGTTGAAACCTCTGAATAGAAACCTTGGGAAGCTCTGGGTTGCTCTGAGAATAAAGGGGGTCAAGAAGATATGTCTCTGGAAGGAGGCCCCAAAGCAGGAAGGCAGAAGCTCAGAGTAATCTTTTCTTAGGAGACCCATTCAGATAAGAATGAATCATAACAATTCATTCTTTATTTTTTTGGCTTGAACATGTGTGTAACAGCTAGGAAACTATCTCAGCTGACAAACTTTTGCTTACAGCATGGTTAAAGATGGGATGATTTAGTTTGAGCTAGAGGTTTCTATCTAAGAAGCCAAGAAGCAGAGTAACAGCCAGTGGAGGGGCTATACCCCATAGCTAGGGTACTTCTCTAAAACAGAAGTGCGCCTCCAGTGGAATGCAAAACAATTTCTTAATTGTTTCTTCCGTGACAGTTGTATATGCTTAGAAATGAACATGGTCAGATGCTTATTTTTTCAGATACAAATTACAGTGCTGCACAATAAATGTTTTAATGTTCTCAACAGGGGTCTTCAATCAGTTTGGCATGGTTTTTTAATCTTTGCAAAAATAAATTTTACAGACAGAACTATCTTAATATGTTTGAAGCAATTTATACTTTCTCTAGAATTTTTGCTCCCTTTTAACGCAGCAATTTTCAACCTTTTTCATCTCAAGGTATACATAAACTAATTACTAAAATTCAGCACATCAAAGAATATAATTTTTTGGTGATCTGACAAAAAAAGGTAAAAAATTGATTCATTTACACCTGGTAACTATTGTTGTGTTGGCTGTTGTCATTTTTTTATTTGATAATCTAAGGGAAAAGAAGTCAGTGCCCCTGACTAAATAGTCAGGTATTGCATGTTTTAAAAATTCTTGCTGCACAGTGGTTGAAAATCGCTGTTTTAAATGTGATGGTGGCAAAAACATTTTTTCAGGGAATGAGAACTAAGAAAAATAAGACTGCTTTTCATTCATCTTTACACATTCTTCCGCAGATGTCATCAGCGTGACAGTTCAAAAGGAACAATGCCTCCATGACACTCGTTCCCTTACTACTCTTCATGTGACCTGTGTGTCAGCTCTATAGGACTTCCAGCAGCTTCGAGGTAAGGAAATATATTTCTTTCTGGAACCATCCTCATAACCATTGTTGTCAGGCATCACTAACAGAATTACATAATCTTCTTTCTTAATAGACTTGTATTCTAGAGGCTCCTAGGTAACCTAGAGACTCACTTTGCTCACAGAATCTTGGGAATTTTGATATCCCTCAAAATGTCAGTGACATCTGGAAGTGAGCAATCCACTGTCCCCAGCCTAGCTGAAAAGAGGGCATTGTGGTAAAGACATGTTGATAAATGCCACACCTATACCAGCCTGTGAAAGGTTATTATTTTTGTTGGAAAAATAAGCTTTCTGTTTCTCCTCTCCTGTAACAAACATTGTCCCCTGGCCACAGGGTTAACAGGTGGTATTCCAGGTCTACATCTCACTGGTTACTGTGATTGTCTCAAGGGGGGCATCTGGTCTGAGAAATGTCAGTCTTAATCTTTCCCTGGGACTAATCTATTCCCTGAGGTTTCCAAGACTGGATGGTGTTTATCTGGGGTTGCTAATAGATATATGGAGAGGATATGCTTGCTGAATAAAGTCAAGTGGAGACAGAGGAATCTGTGACTTTGGTTCTGGTTAAAGACCATGAGGCTCTTCTGTCAGTTCTCTGACTTAAGTATGCTCCAGACTTTGTGAATGAAGGAATTCTCCTATTGCACAAGCCAGTTAGAGTTGATTTCTGTCACTAGCAACCCAAAAAGTCTTAATGAACAAAAGAACATTATGAAGAGTAATAGGAGGGCCAACAACTGCCAGTTGCCCCCAATTTGGGGCTATTTATTTTCAGCATCTCATCCAAAGATGCTCTCTTATCTGTATGGGTCCTTGCCAATTGTACATTAAATACCTGACATATATATTGTGATCATTTCCAAATAGTCCAGGCTCTCCATATGGCTTTTCTCAGAGGGCAGTGTTTCTCAATTTCAATCTGTTCTCAGGAGCTAAAGATCTGATTTTTTTTTAAATACCAAAAGTGCCAAGAAATCTATATTACGACCTTGATTGGCACAAAGAATATAGTAACATCTGCTATAGTCTAGGCACTGTGCTCAGCAGAAGTTTAATGAATTAAAAAAAGGCTTTAGACCTCAAGTTACTTAAAACCAGAAGTTTATCTATAAATACTAGTAAGAACATAATATGCTACATGTATTATTCATTAAAGAAACAATGGCTAATATAAACTGAGTAATTTGGGAATTGAGAGGAAACTATCACTGTGGGCTAAGAAAACTAGAGCTGTGGAATTGAGCAGAGTCCTGAAGGACAGCTGGGTTCAGATTGTACAGAAAGCAAGAGAGAAGAAATATTTGGGACAAAGAGAGCAAAAAGAATGGAATCTTGATGAAGAGGAGGGCATTCATTCCATACCATCTACCATTTGATACTATCTGTGACCAGTCCTTAGGATTTTATGCTGGATTTTGATCTGAGAGTAAGAAGAGGGAGCTAAGCACCCCATCTGGAGCTCTCCTGGACACATGGTCCCTAAAAGCCTTTTGTATGCTCCTATTCTCTATGAATCCATGGGCTTCCCTTCTGATCATTCATCAAAGTAAGGGGCCATCTGCTCTGTGCTCCATGAATGAAATGAAGGCATGTGTTATGTGGCTCCATTCCAGCTTCCCCTTCTTTACATCTGCTGTGCCTCTTTGAACAGCCCATGGGGCATAACTGATATCTCACCTTACTGCAAGGTGCACGACCCTTTGCTTTCAGTCCTATTTTACTTTGAAAACTACCTGCACCTCCCGCTGTTCAGGTGTTATTGCAGAAACCCTTACCATCCACCAAACCACTGGTTGTTTAGACTTCTTTGGCAGTAACCCATTTTACCAATGAAAGGTATTAAAAATTTTCATTAGAGGAAATTCAACATTTCAACCAATTCTTCTATTACAGGAAGAATAACAACTTTCAATTTATATATCCCAGCCCCTTTGAAGTACATTATTGACATTTGCTAACCAATCTCCTTTATATTCTTGGACGCCTCACCTTACAAGACAGAGTTTGAAGCTATAACAACCTTGAAACTACAGTGTAAAATGAATGAAAATATGCCTGGGAGTGAAGTGACAGAGCTAAAAAAATACTGCAAAGGTCTTTCAAAAACTCTGTGTGTGTGCATGTGTGTGTGCATGCCCATGCCTATGCCCATGCCCATGTGTGTACCTGTCATGTGCTCTTTTCCCCCGAACCAGAGAAAGACCTGTCAATGACTAGGAGGAAGGAATTTTTAATTTTATATTTGTATAGGAAAAAATTACTTTTCCAAAATTTTTTGTATCCTAGATAAGTAAAATCAGGCAAGTATTTAACATCTCTGTTCCTCACTTTGCTAATCTGCAAATTGATAATAATAAATATCTGTATGAAAGAATTTTTATTAAGGACTAAGTATTAAGCACAGTGCCTAGTATGTAGTAGGCACTCAATCATCACAGTGCTTGGAATATACTGGAGATTCAATAATTATCCCTTTTTTGAATAAGTGAGTAAATTAAACAAATATGTAGAAAGTGTCTTGTCTTCCAGGCACATAGTTGGTATAAGTTGGTGACTCTTAAACTCCTAGAAAGATATATTCCCACCATAATTTAAAAGTGATTGATTTATATTCATTGCTTAGCCTGATATGAAAATAATGAAACATAAAAACTAAACTATAGAAATAGTCTTAATAATTAGGCGACACTGGCAACATCCTTAAGGCTTTTGTGAACTGGGTCATTCTTTTCTAGAATTTCAAACAAAAAGTAATTCGCTGAGAGCTATTAGGCAACAGAAGGCAAAGTTTAATTAAGGATGATTTGGGGCTGTGAAAAAGGCAGGTAAACAGAATTGAGTTTGGTGATAGTTTTAATAGCTTTATTGAGATATAACTGACAAGCAATAAACTGCATGTAAAGTGGGCAATTTGGGTTTTGTTCTATGAATAAATGCATGTCACTGACATACAAGCGTATCAGTGACACACCAAATCTCCTCTCACCCTCAGTAGTCCCTCCTTCTCCTTCCTTTCCCCCTTCCCCTGACAACCAGTGGTGTTTTTCTATTACTATAGATTAGTTTGTATTTTCTGGAGTTTTATAGAAATAGAAGTATATAGCACATGCTATCTTTTATTAAAATATATTTTATTGATTTTTTACAGAGAGGAAGGGAGAAGGATAGAGAGCCAGAAACATCAATGAGAGAGAAACACCGATCAGCTGCCTCCTGCACACTCCCCACTGGGTATGTGCCTGCAACCAAGGTACATGCCCTTGACCAGAATCGAACCTGGGACCCTTGAGTCCGCAGGCTGACGCTCTATCCACTGAGCGAAACCGGTTAGGGCAGCACATGCTATCTTATTGTCTGGCTTCATTCACTCAGCATAGTTAATCTGAGATTCATTCTTATTGTTGCACTTATCAATAGTTCATTCATTTATATTTCTGAGCAGTATTCCATTGTATGGCTAAAGCATATGTTGTTTGTCCATTCACCTATTGATGGAACTTTAGGTTGTTCCTTAGTTTTGACTATTACAAATAAAGCTTCTATGAATATTTGTGGACAAGTCTCTAGGTATAGTCAGGGTGGGGCAAAAGTAGATTTACAGTTGTTTGTATGGAAAATAATGCAATAATTAATCCTATCTAATAAAGATGGAATATGCTAATTGACCCTCACACCATTGCAAAGATGGCGGCACCCACAGCCAATAAAGAGGGAATATGCTAATTGACTGCCCCGCCCTCAAAGATGATGGCGCCCACAGCCAATAAGGAGAGAATATGCTAATTGACTGCCACACCCTCAAAGATGGTGGCGCCCACAGCCACAAGATGGTGGTGCCCAGTCCCCTCAGTCCTGCCAGAGCGGCAGGCATGCAGCAAGGCTGGGCCCGCCCCCAGGCAGGCCTGGCCAGTCCATGTGCCTGCCTCCAAGGTCCCCCAGTCCCCTCAGCCGCCCAGGGCCGGCCCAAGGCATAGGCAAACCTCGGATGTCAGCTGCTCAGCTGCAGAGCCACCCAAAGCTGCTCGAGGCTCAGGTAACCCAGGGCCAGCTGAGGCTTGTGCTGCTGGCAGTGGCAGCAGCAGAGGTGTGATGGGCGTCGCCTTACCCTGATTGCCAGGTCACCTCCTGCCCCGGAGGGCTCCCGGACTGTGAGAGGGAGCAGGCCAGGCTGAGGGACGCCCCCCCCTCTCCAGTGCATGAATTTTCATGCACCAGGCCTCTAGTAAATAATAATACAAGCATAAAATCTGTGTGGTATGTACTCACAATAGTAAACCCACTTTTGCTCCACTCTGTATGCTTTCATTTCTACCTAGGAGTGGAATGGCTGGAAAATGGTAGGTGTGTGTTTAACTTTTTAACAAGATGCCAAACTGTCTTCTAAAATGTTTCCATAGTTTTCATATCCACCAGCAATTCCAGGTCCTCCATGCCCTCACCAATCCTTGATATGGTCATTCTTTTCAGTTTTGGTCATTCTAATGCATATATAGTGATATGATGTTAATTTGCATTTCTCTAATAACTAAGAATTCTGAGCATCTTTTCATGTGCTTATTTACCATATGTATATTTTAGTAAAGTGTTTGTTCAAATCTTTTGCTCATTTTATTAGGTTGTTTTCTTATTATTAGTTTTAAATATACTTTCTAGATTCCAGATGTAAGTTCTTTATGAGATTTACAATTTGCAACTATATTCTCCTATGCTGTGGCTTGTCTTATGTCCTTAATAGTGTCCTTCAGTAGAACAGACAATAGTGTGGTAAGGGCCTGGGGTTCGGGGGCAGGTGCCGGCTAAAAGAGATCAGTGGGGGGAAAAGGGGACATCTGTAATACTTTCAACAATAAAGATAAAAATATATTTTAAAAAAACCAAAAAGTAGAACTAATAATGCTAATGAAGTACAACTTATTTTTTGTTTGTTTGTTTGTTTGATGGGTTATGCTTTTGGTGTCCTATCTAGGAAATTTTTTTCTTC